CCTACCTTGCTTTACAGATGGTGTCTTACGTTTGCCGTCAGCCAGGCAGTAGCTGTGGCGTGGAGCCATTGCCTGCACATGTTCAAATTTGGTTGTTATCCCTCTTATTATTGGAAAGGTGCAACCTGTAAACACTTTAGTCAACAAACTATTCAAGAACCACTTAAGGAGGAAAATATGGGTCCTAGTAATTTTTGTCTGAAACCTTGTTACATCTACTGTTAAGTTCAAGAAAGTACTGGCATAAAATCTTGCAGAATTGGTGGCTGTGGGTTGAAGAAAATTCTGGAGCATTCTTCTGAGAAATGCGGCTTCACCAATGTTCTTGATGGCATAGGGATGACATGTAGCATCGAAAAACACGTACAGTGAGGGCTCTGAACAAAAAAGCGAGTCAAAAAGAGTGGGTGAACTCTGAATATAAAATGTTTTGTGAATAACCATTTGCTTCTATTTTCCCTTTTAAGTATACATACAAAAAAGTCCAAACGAGCTCTTTTAATACATATAAAATGAAAATTCTAAATGGCAAGAACTGTGTCTGTTTTTATGGTGGGCAAAAGATAAAACAAGCAGTTCACCAAAAAAAATTAAATGGCCATCAAGCTCATCAGAAAGATGGTGAACTAAGGTTGGAACTAGCGTTAGGTGAAGGTACTCACTTCCTACTTCTCAAGTTTTTAGGTAAAAGGACTTCCTAAGAGTATCACTCCTAATCTTCACCAATGACTCATCTAACTGGTGAGTTTGGGAAAAGGAACTGGGCATGTGCAGTTTAGCCACTTTCTAAACTGTCTTTTCCCTTCTAGGATATGACTCTCATGAATCACAAATTCTCTGCTTCTTCATGTGTATTTCCCACATGAAATTGCCAATGGCAGAAGGTCTGTGGTTTTCCCACTGTGCCTGTGACACAAGTGGGGAAGATTAATTCTGGAATATGCATTAGGAAAACTACTGTTACTATGGACGTAGGCCATGCTGCCCAACAGCTATATCAAAAGCATAGGTGACATGCCCCAGCCTCTTAATCCCTGTATCTGCCTCTTACTCTAAATCAAGCAGTAAGGTAAAGGGGTGTTATTAGTTCTCTCAAGCCTCATCAAGTAATTATTAAGTAGTTACAAATAAAAACAAGAGAAATAGTGTTTTACACATAACATTGGTAAAAATCAAAATAAATCAACAAATAATAGCCAATATTGGCAGGAGGTAAGAAGTTCACTCTCATACACTTTTTTTGTTTTGTTTTATTAGACATGGGGTCCTATTCTGTCACCCAGGCTGGAGTGCAGTGGCACAATTACAGCTCACTGCAGCCTCAAGCTCCTGGGCTCAAGTGATCCTCCCACCTCGGCCTACTGAGTAGCTAGAACCACAGGTGCACACCACTGGGGGTCTCACTATGTTGCCCAGGCTGATCTTGAACTCTGGTTTCAAGTGATCCACCTACCTAGGCCTCCCAAAGTGCTCAGATTACAGGCATGAGCCACCATGCTCAGCCCTTCATAAATGATTTTTGGGAGTCTAAGTTGGTAAAGATCTTTGGAGCAAAATTTGGAAGCTAATTTACATACTTAAGTTTGCACACCTTTGAGCTGGCATTTTCATTTCCTACAGAAGTACTCATACATGTGCAGGGTTATTTGTATAAGGATATTCATAACAGCATGTTCAACAGTGAAAAGTTTGACATGAATAACCAGAGAAAAATTTACATGACATATTCTTATGAAAAAATACTATAAAATAATTTAGAATGGGGGTTGGCAAACTGTGACCCGGGCTATTTTACTTTTGGAGTTTTGCTTAGGATAGGCATCAAAAAGGGCAAAGAAGTGTCTGAATCCACCCAAGGATTTCTTTTTGCCTACTAACACTGTGTTGCTCCACTACACCTTGCCTAAGACTCATGTCCTGCCGAGCCAAGGAGGAAAACTCTTAATCTGATTCTCTATCGTTTTTACTGGTACTGCTTCCTTTCAATAATAAGGGTAGAGATGCAGTGGTACATTATTTGATTTTTAATGAGCTTGCATATTTTAATGAGCGTGGTATATTTTGTCATGTTAGCTTCGTTGTGTTTCCTCTTTTGAGAACTCTAAGATTTAAGTCATATTAATTACTGGTTTTATGTAACAATAGCTTAATATCAAAATATTTATATATTTATATAAATAAGTATATACTTATATATTGTTATATTAAATAACTTAAGATTTAAGTTTCTTATGGTAACATTTTTCCTTACCTGTGGTATTTCAACAAAAGATGGAAAAGTTAGTTTCAGTAATGAGAATTTGACAATAGAACATAGTCTTGGAACAGTCGTTCTCCCCCCGAAAATTTGATTTTTTTCCCCAGCTGATTATAAATGACTATCCCATGAAGTGAAGGGAATTGGCAACTTAAAATCCTCATGCTGAATCGTAACTTTGACAATTTCATCTAAACCACAGGAACCTTTCTAAAAATATCTGCTGAATGCCTCTCTCCCTTTGCTAAAACCAGGGTACAGTCTTGAGTCATTGGTTGCTGTGCCCTGCCAGCTAGCAAGAAGCCAATTATTTAATCCTTGAATGAAGTCCCTTCTTTCTCTCTGGGCAAACCATCAATGTTTATTTGTTATTACAAATTCTTGTATAGCACTTCCTAGCTTACAAAGCGTTTCCCATACATTACCCCATCTGTCCAGTAACTTTGTAATACAGTGAAAGAAAAAATTCCATGTTTTTAAAATGTGGACACTGTCTCATGGATGTTAAATAATTTTGTCTAGAGTCACAATTGGCAAGGGTCAAAGAAGAGATCAAGCTCTCCCTTTCAGAAACATTTAAGTATTTATTTAAAGCAGTTCAAAGATGTCTAACTTTCCTCTCTTTTTAATTGCCTTTTATTAAATGACATCAGAGAAACATTATCTTTCCCTTGAAAACAAGTGAGTATCAAGTGTTTCAAATTTCTATTTATGGATTTAACAACAGCTAGTGACTTTAACAGAAAATATTAGTGCTAGAGGAAGACAGGAAAGAACCATTCTTGAAACTTCATGACAACTCACTAAGAGTACACAAATATCTTTAGTTTTCTAAGACCAAAATCTGCCTGTAACTCCTGATCCATATCTTATTCTATCTTTCCCCAATATTTGAAAATAATTTATCTAAAAATCACATTAAAGGACCACAAAAACATAATTAAAATTTGCAGCTCTTGTAGCAGAAAAAATATTGAAGTCAATCAAAAAAATCAATCAGAAAATTGAGCCCCAGCTCTACCACTACCTATTATTGTGATTGAGGCAAATAATCTTTCAAAAAGAAAAAAAAAGGAACCCTACTAAATACTCATCCAAAACTTAGACTTACAGTTAAAAGTATAGATTAGTAAATTATAGTTTGCTTAGTAAAGAATAGGTACTTTACGGTTTTTCTACATGATAAAGAGCAAAATTAAAGTGGATGAGTTTATCCAAGACATTACTTTTAGTCATTCAAATTTCAACTTCTTAAAAAAGTTGACTTATTCAAATGTGACACTTGGCATTTCTTTTATGTGCTTTTCAAATCTTTTAATGTAAAGGATCCTATGATTTTTCGCTGCAACTTGTTTAAAAAAAAGTTATTTAAACTATAGTAATACTCACGTTCTAAATTTTGTTGACTACACCCAGAGTCCTGTAACATGTTCCTTTGTGCTATTCAATTCCCATTAATAGAGAGATCTGGGGCTTAATCAGATTCAGGTTTTTGGGTTTTGGCAAGACACTTCCTAGGTGGTGCTGGGTACTTTCCATTGAGTCTTATCAAATGGTACATCATTGTAGCACTGACCAATGGGTTCAGGTGTTGCCACTCTAATTCATCCATGTTTCTCATCAGTTTTTCAAGTAATAGCTTTGGTAGCCATTGATGATCATTTCTTAGATTTGTCAATTTAATGGGAATTGAAAAACGATGATATTCTAACACTGCTTCTGCATTTATTAATTGAAATAATTCTATGTAACCTACAAAATTTGGCCCTTATCATTTGATTATCCTGAGGTAAAATAGGATAAATGCTTTTCCCCAATTTACCAGTTTTCAGAATAATTTCTCAATATTCTTTCAAAAGTGACTGAGTTGGTTTGTTGTTTCTGGTTGCTGTGTTTAGTGTTATTTTGAACACATAGATTTACATATTTAATGTGTTGCAATCCATTTCAGTTATTATTGTTACTGATCATTAAATTGCTCTATCTGTCCAGCCTGCAATTGGATACAGAACTTCTGATAAAAAACACAGTGGTAGTTGAGAGCTTTCCTGCTTTGGTGATACTGAGTTATTACTGTTAATTTTTTAGATGTGAAATAGTATTGTGTTTTGTTGGAGGAGAAAATGACTAATGTGTACATATGATCAAATGATAAATCTCAGATTTGCTTCAAAATAAGCTGGGAGCAAGTAGGTTAGAGTATAGATGAAACAAGTTTGGCCACATGTTGCTAACTTTTGAAGTTAGTGTAATGAGAGTTACACTATTGCTCATTATTTTGTTGCACACATTTGAACATTTCCATAATGAAGTTTTTTTTTTAAAAATCCCATATTAGTAGTAAAAGTTTTAAATAGTCACTACTACAGAAAAATAAAACACATACTTGAAACACACTTTACACTCTAACCAGATAGTTCCCAAAAATTCTAACAAAATGCATGCAACAGGAAAAAAAGAAAACCTTATTTTCCACTCAAGAAAAAATTAGACAGTTGAAGTTAAGACATAGTCTGAAAAGTGTGATTAAGGTATTCTTTATTAAGATCATTAAAAGTTGTAGAAACTACTTTATATTATAAAGGCACAGGGAGACAGTTCTGATAAAATATTCAAATTAACAGTAACTTACAGTACAAAAGACAATTTTAATGCACATACAAACCCCAAATGTCTGATTCAAAAATATTTTACTGTGTCTATTAATGGGCAATGATTAAAAATATAAATTGCTGCTGTATAATAAATATCTGATAGTGAACATCTTGATAGCAAAGTGAACAAAATATTTATTGCTTTTCACATACATATTTTTCCCTGTAATTTTAAATTTCTAATTCTTTTACTATATTCTCCTCAACCTTTTCCAAAGATAAAAGAAATTTCACATAATCTCCTGGAAGGGAAATGGTAGTTATAAATAACTACCTCAAGTAGCAATCACTGCTGGCAGTGTTTTCTCACTTTCCGTTCTGCCATCACAATCACTCTTCCAAAAAGTAAAATAAATGTTTGCTGAACCATAGACAGACAACCCCTCTGTGACTGTCATTCTAAGGTTTATAATGCAAACTTATCAAATATAAACGGTGCTCCCTTTTGAAAATGTGTATTTTAAGTTTTGAGTACGAGATGAATGTTTGACAAATAATTTTACCTACTTCCCTCAAAAATTTCTCAAAGTTGCAAAAAGTCAATTTAGTAAAATTTCCAGCACTTAAATGTTTCATTGAGGGCTAGGTGGCATATGCAATGTATTGATGTATAAAAATTAACACAATGCAACTATTTTATAATGCAGAGCTCTTACCTTTTCCTTCCAGTTTTTAAACTGGGATTAATTTTACTGATTTCATCCTCCTCTTTTTGTAGCAACCTAGTTTTAGATGATACATGTAGAATCTCCATCACAACAGTAAAATAACATGAAAGCATCATCTAAATCTAATTAATGTTATTTCAACTTAAGAAATACCTAAGTATTTGATAATCATTTTAAAGTTACTTAACCATATGTCCTGTTCAGACAGTGTGTAGCAGCTCATAATGTGCCTGGCACAGAGTTGATGCTCAATAAATAGTTGCTGAATGAATGAAAAAGAAAAAACTTGGCTTTGGTTGTGCATATTTTAATCACTTTCTGATTTATAGTAAGGTCAGTCTGGAACTCACTACTGCACACTACACCAAACTTTGCTGTAAACAAAATTAATAACTTCAAACAGAAAAATATCTATGTTAGTGATAGCCAACTTATATACGCTAACATTTTTTAAATAGCCCACAAATTTCACGTTTCTTAATTTTTATCCACATATTCTTGAAAGCAGTAGTTAACCTTCAAAATTAAACAGGGAGATCTGAATTTAATGACAGAGCTAAAATATTGGAAGTCAGATGGTAAGAATAAGTAGACCAAATCTTATTTTAAATTCTAAACATGAGACTAGGTCTAATATTTCTTTGGCATATGCATTACTATCTTGGACTAGTTAGCATTTTAAAAATACTGGGTTATATTTTTTCTGAACCAAAATTAACAACAAGGTGTAGATTGCTAGTATACTCTTTTTAAAGCCTTTAGTAAAGGACAAAATGACATTTTGCAACATATGCCGAACTTCATGTTTAGTGTACACTTATAATTATAGGCATAGAGGGATATAACTGTTAAATAACCTGAAATTATATCATGCAATGGTGAAAGCACAAAAGGTAGTGAAAAAAAGTATTTACATAATATAATATTTAGCTTTCCAGAAAAAAAAAAACACAGTAAACCTGGGAATCCCGCCCTAACAGTAAATATGTACCGCATGGCACTGAATGAAAACTAGTCAAAATTTAAATGAACACCTATAGTAACCTGAAAGTGTAAAATTTAATAAAAAAAATAAAAATGAAAAAACCCCTACACATCAGAAGAAAAAAGTGGCCTATAAAACAGGCCAATCTAACCTGACATTCAAAGTAAATGCAAGAGATTCACAAAATCATGATAGTAATGCAGACTAAGTACCAAGTATCCTTTGATACACAAGCCAATGTAACTATCAGACTCATTTCCAATAGCTTAACAATATTCCTTAATCCACTCAAGCATGGGGGGGTGGAGGGGTGGTAGGGCAAAGCAGTCGATGATAGCTGAAGTCTCCAAAGTATAAGAACATACTTAATTTGCAGAAGCCTCATGTGATTTTTGAAGTAATGTCTTATTTTGATGGATGTTAATGTAAGATTTATCAGTGCAAGTTTATCATCCTCTGAATGTAATACTTCCAAATTTTGCTTTTCCAGATAGTTTTTGGTGGTTTAGTTTTAGCCAGTGCTGTTTAAATGGAGAAAAGAAAAAAAAAAGTTCACCACAGACTACCTCACGTTGTTACTTAATTGTGCTAGATATTCACGCAGTTCTTTTGCAGCCTGGAATCTGCCATAGCGCTTCTTTGGGTTGGCGCATTCATCCAGCAAGGCCTCGAGTCGGCCATCTTTGGCAATTTCACTTGGTGGATCATGAAGGAGTCCTCCAGAAGTGCCACGCCAGGTGGCATGTCTGGATAAGAGGTTCTGACAAACAGCATAATAATTGTGGTCCACAGTGGCACGAGCACAAAGAATTTCTTTTGAAAATGACAAGCAAGCCTCCTTATCACAGTCATCAAATTTGCTTTCATACCATACATCCCAATTTTCAGGCTTATCTGTGAAAGGGGGAAAGCAGAAAGAGAAAAATACATTTTAAAGCAGTTAATTTTGACATAAAAGTATGTTATATCTTTAAACATTTAAATATATTAATTCATACAAACATTTATTGGGAGCCTATCGATGCGAGGCAGAAGGATCAGAGAAGATCCCTACCACTTATAGGTTCAGTCTAGTGACTTTCCACCATACACAGAAAATGCCATACAGAAGTATACACAATGCTACAGGAGTAGCAAGGAATCAGCACTTTTATGTAGGGGCTATAGAAGGATACATAAAACAAAGTTTTTTTTTAATTGTTTGTTTTTTTTGTTAGATACGGGGTCTCATGCTGTTGCCTAGGCTGGAGTACAGTGACATGATTATAGCTCACTGCACCGTCCAAATCCAGGGCAAAGGACCCTCTTGCCTCAGCCTCCTGGATAGCTGGGACTACAGGTGTGTGCCCCCATGTCAGGCTAATTTTTCCTTTCTTTTTAGAGACAGGTCTTGCTGTATTGCCGAGGCTGGTCTCAAACTCCTGGCTGCAAGTGATCCTCCCACTTTAGCCTCCCCCAAATGATTTAGGTCTTAAAGATAAAAAAAAGTAAAGAGAAGTAAGATCTGCAAAAATGAGTGAGTCTAAAAAAATGAAAAGAAAAAGCAGCAAGAAAAAAACAGCATTCCAGGTGCAGGGCAGAATATATGCAAATACATGGAATTAGGGATTGGTTCAGCTGGTTCAGGAGACAACAGTTCACTGACTGTAGTTTGAAATAGGTACCTGGAGAGGAGGCACAGATGAAGCTAGGAAAACAGGCTGTAATTTACTGATCATGACTATGATTTATTTTACAGAAAAGTAACTATGGGCTGAAGACCTGAAGGACTAAGATGATGACAGCAACTAAAGGCCCAGAGAGAAAAGCCAGGTTGGAGAAACATCTCACACAAAAATTAACAAATAAGTATATGGGTAAAGTTTAAGGTTCTAATTGGATAACAAGACAGATACTATTAACATAACAGTATCAGTATTTTATGCATAAATAATATGAATATAAAGTAGCTATAAGGTATCCAGGTGGGTATGTCATATAAGCAACTAGAACTAGACTTGAAACTTCTGACTGTGAGGTCAGGGGTATAACAGACATATTTAGAACTCATCAGCACATATGTAGTTGATGGATGGAGCCATGGCTTAAGGGGTAAGTAGCCGTATGTGGAGGAGGGACGAGGCATGTCAGGCAGAGAAAACTACATGTGGGAGAGTCCAGAAGTAGAAAGGTTCATTCAAGAAGACAAAAGGCCATTGTAGCTGAAGCATCAAGGACACTGGACAGAAGAATATTAAAAATGAAGCAGAACAGAGCTAAGTCACACAGATTATGTCCTGGTAAGGAGTTTAGATTTTACTTGAAGAACAACGGGAACTCATGAAAACCATTTAAGCAAAGGAGTAATAAGATCATATTTAACGTCTTCACAAAGCTGCTATTCCAGTAGAAGGAAGTCAAGAAAAAAATTGCAAGAAATTGGTACTAATCAGAGCCACTTCACGAATTTGCCAATTAGATAGTTGCTAATGGCAAGGCAGACATCTAAGTCAAATTTTAATGGGCTAAGGAACGAATGGCTGTTGAGGAAAGAGAGGTAAATAAGCAATACTTTTATAAAAACAGTTGAAAAGCAAGAAGAAGCAGGAGAGGGTCTTATACATACCCATTTTATGAGGAGGTAAGCGAAATTGGGTATTAAAGGAAGGAGGTGGGAAGTTGAAGAAGATAACTGAGTCAACAGATTCTCAAGGAAGGATCTACTTTGTCTGAAAAAGAAAGATGAATGTGTGCTGTGTTAACTAGGTTTAGATGGTAAAGGGAAGGATGCTGAGGAAGTTGCCATAGCAAAACCTCAATTTCCCTGTGAAGAAAAAAATAAAGGTCATTTACTAGAAAGTAGGAAGAAAAGAGGGTGAATTAGTAGATAAGGCCTTTTGCAAAGTGGCTATTTAGAGGGTCCATGAGACATTTGAAAAGAACTAGCCAGAGTTAAAGTAGCACTGGAGCAAAATGTTCACTGTATGAAATGTAAGAATATATAAGTTATAGAGCTGGGTTTATCCAAGGTCAGGAATCAGTTGGTATAAAACTGTAGTAATTATTTCAGAAATGTCCACATAAAACGAATTATAAAAAATCATTTTGATAAACACTGGAATAAAAATTTTAAAAGGTTAGGCAAATTGCACAACTCTAACTATATTAAAAACCACTGAATTGTACTCTTTTAAAAAGAAAAGCATGGTGTCAGCTGGTACAACGTTCACAGATGTAGGAGAGGTTAAGTGGGTAGTGGAACACTCCAGCAGGGCATTCACTCCCTGTGGGAGGATCTACACGGCAAGTCAAGCAATAATCAGAAAGTAGTTTGGCCAGTATAGAATCAAAACAAGGCAGTGGAAATAACCAAATATTTATCAGGATCGTGCTAAGATCATGCAAAAATAAGTGTCAACCTAATATATTGCTGTCACATTAACTGCATTCCCCAAGTGCCACAGATTTTCAGCCTCTGTTCATCAAAAGATCCTTATATCCCTTTTATCAGGGGAGAAAGGGGGATTAAAAATATAAGACCCTAACCATGGAGCAACAACCATTTGGTTTAATTTTCTAACTGAATTGGCTCTAGAACTACAGGCTTTTGTCCTTGACACTTTAAAATTCCCATAGCATTTAACTTTCAAAACACTTCGGACACTCTGCCCCCCTATCCTGTGAAGAGCTCATAAACATTAATGGGAGAACAAAGTTTTGGGTGAGTTGTAATGATCAGAATGTCAAACCACAGTCAGATCCGCAGTGCTAGGAATTATCCCAAATGGTTAAAAACAAAACAATACCATTATTGTAGGAGCCCCACAAAACAAAAATACAATACAGAACATTCCTGTAAGAGATTTCACAGAAAAATCATGCCTCCATGAAAGCAGTACAGTCACTCTGGTGGCCTATAATAATATAAACTTAATTCTGCATTAGACTCCTAAAACACAGACTACAGCACATAGTTTGCAAAACACATGAGTCTAGGTATTTTGTGTCCATTGGAACCCAAAGGATATTTTACTAAATATGGAGAAACTGTGACTAAGAGTGCAAGAATAAAAATAAATTAGTACAGACAGTCCAATGGTTCAACTTTCAATTTTTCGACTTTAAGATGGAGCAAAAGTGATACACGTTCAGTAGAAACTGTACTTCAAGTACCCACACAACCATTCTCTTTTTCACTTCCAGTACGGGATTCAATAAATTAAATGAGATATTCAATACTTTATTATAAAATAGGCTTTGTGTTAGATGATTTCTCCCAACCATAGGCTAGTGTAAGTGTTCTGAGCACGTTTAAATTACACTAAGCTTAAGCTATGATGTTCGGTAGGTTAGATGTATTAATTGCATGTTGTTCAATTTAACAAAATTTTCAACTAAGGGGTTTATCTGGATGCAACCCTTTCATAAGTTGAGGAGTATCTGCATTTGTTTACTGATACTAGTTATATAAAGCAAAAAAGATGCAAGATTGCCATCTAAAGAATAAATTTAAGGCTTACTGCATATAAATATAAACATCATTTTGACATTGAAAAAATGTGTACAAAAAATATCTACAAGTTACATACTTACTTTGTCTAATTAATCTTTTGTCAGCAACCAAAACATTTTCAGCATCCACAATGATTACCTTTCCATCTCTAGGACCAACTGCAAAATTGTCAAAGCTGACGTCCAGGAGGTAGAGTGCAAACTCGAAATCATTGTTTGTAAGCTGCTCTGCTATTTCCATTAATTGCCAAGCGAGGTCAACTCGTTTCTCCCATGGTGCATTAAAGTAACTCCATAGTTCTTCTCCAACATAATTTACAGCCACCATTCTTCCACAAGCTCCAAGATATTTTGCAAATGGCCAACCTTCATCAGATGGAAAACTCTACAAAAGAATTATCTAAATATTATAAGACGTTCTGAAGGAGATATCCTATGTCTATCCCCAGATCCTCTCAGTAAAGATTGCTACTGTGTTTGGATTTTCTTGTTATATTCAACAGTTCATTAGAGATAAACTTTACTTTTTTTTTTTAATTCATACCATTACTATGGATCTAAAAAAAATTTAAATGGAGAACTTTACATTATAAAGCTAAAATAGGATTGACAAGCCTTGCTTATTAAATCTCAGAACCAAATTAATCAATAAACAGCAAGAAACTGTTTTATTACCAAATCTAAAGTATTTATACTTTCCCTTATCTTCTTGACTGTTTAAGTGTAATCAACCAATCCTTTCTTTGGAATGAACAGCTTTGCAATCTGTTAACCAGCAATCATTTACCAGGCATCAGGAACTGTGTTATGCTGGCAATAAGAGTGAACTAAATAGTCTCTATTTAGCCATGGGCTTTTATTTTAAAAGGGCAGATACCAAACAAATAATTATGAGTATGATAAGCGTTAGTTAATAAGAAGTGATACAGATCCTAAGGAGCCATTTAGGCCTTACCTAGTCCAGAAGCAGGCAGGGGTGCAATTCACAGAAGGATTCTTGGGAGGTGTCTTTTAACCCACATCCAAAGGTTGGGAAGGTACAAACTAATATCCAATCAATCAATGTGACCTCTATTCCCAGCACCTTTGGTCCCAAGGCCATCTTGTTTCCCTTTCGTCAGCCATCACATTTTCTGTTCACCTTGGCCCAGTCTCAAAATTATTCATTCTCATCTTAGCAAGGTTTTCTAATGGGTTTTACAACTACTGGGAGCATTATCATCCTAAATCAAAAGAAAAGTCTTCCATGACTCCGAACAAGTCATTTTCAACTTAAGTAAAACGTTAGGCTTTATCTAAGATACTTCCCACTGTTAAAACACATAATTAAAAAATGAGCATTAGAGAAAAAAGGGATGGGAAGTAATGTTTTAAACAACTTCTTAGATGGGATCTATGACCAGAGGTGTGTTTTAAGAGCCTAGAACCTTTACTCAAGTTTGAAAAAAATTATGAGATGATGTTTACACACCATTAGCAGGGAGGGGAGGCAGACTGGGAAGACAGTATTAAGTATAATCTTTTTACAAAATACTATACAATACAGATATACCTCATTATATTGTGCTTTGCTTTACTGCATCTCTCACACATTGCATTTTTTACAGAGTGAAGGTTTGTGGCAACCAAACATTGAGTAAGTCTACTGATGCCATTTTTCCAATATCATGTGCTCACTTTGTGTCTCAGTGTCACATTTTGGTAATTCTCGCAATATTTCAAACTTTGTCATTATTATTATAATATATCTGCTATGGTGATCTATGGTCAATGATATTTAATGTTACAATTGTAACTGTTTTGAGGTGCCACGAATTATGCCCATTTTAGATGGTGAATTTAACTGATAAACGTGTGTGTTCTGACTATTCCAGTAACAGGCTGTTCCCATCTCTCCCCTTTTCTCAGAACTCCCTATTCCCTGAGACACAATATTGAAATTAAGCCAATTAATAAGCCTACAATGGACTCTACATGTTCAAGGGAAAGGAGGAATCACACATCTTTCACTTTAAATCAAAAGCTAGAAATGATTAAGCTCAGTGAGGAAGGCACGTAAAAAGCCGAGATAGGCCAAAAGCTAAGCTTCTTGGCACTGAACAGCCAAGCTGTGAATGCAAAGGAAAAGTTCTTGAAGGAAATTAAAAGTACTAGCCCAATGAACACACCAATGATGAGAGTGAAACAGCATTACTGCTGATATGGAGGAAGTTTCCTGATCTGACTAGAAGATCAAATCAGCCACAACACTCCCTAAGCCCAAACCTAATCCAGAGCACGGCCCTAATTCTTCTCAATTCTATGAAAGCTGAGAGGTAAAACAGCTGCAGAAGAAAAGTCTGAAGCCAGCAGAGGTTGGTTCATGAGGTTTAAGGAACAAAACTGTCTCCATAACGTAAAAGTAAAGGTGGAAGTGGTGATACAGAAGCTATCCAGAAGCAAGTTATCCAGAAGAACTAGCTAAGATAATTGATAAAAATAGCTACACTAAATAGCTTTTCAATGTGGACAAAACAGCCTCATACTGGAAGAAGATGCCACCTAGGATTTTCATAGCTAGAGAAAAGTCAATGACTGGCTTCGAAAACTCCAAAGTAAAGAGGAATTCTCTCGTTAGGGTCTAATGCAGCTGGTGACTAAATTGAAGCCAATGCTCATTTACTATTCCAAAAACTCCTAGGGCCCTTGAGAATGATGCTAAATCTATTCTGCCTGTGTTCTATGAATGGCACTACAAAGCCTGAGTGACAGTACATCTGTTTAAAGCATGGCTTATGGAATGTCTGAAGCCCCACTGTTGAGATCTATTGCTCAGAAAAAATGATTCCTTTTAAAAAATTACTACTCATTGACAATGCAGTTGGTCACCCAAGAACTCTGAGGGAGATATACAAGGAGAATAATATTGTTTTCATGCTTGCTAACACAACATCCATTCTGAATCCCATGGATGAAGAAGTAGTTTCAACTTTCAAGCCTTATTGAAATACATTTCTTAAAGCTAGAGCTGCCACACAGAGACAGTGATTCCTCTGATGGATCAGGGCAAAGTAAATTGGAAACCTTCTGGAAAGAATTCACCATTCTAGATACCATTAAGAACATCTGTGATTCATGGAAGCATTCAATGTATCAACATTAACAGGAGTTTGGAAGAGGTCAATTCTAACCCTCATGGATGACTTCTAGGGGTTCAAGATTTCAATGGATGAAGTAACTGCAGATGTGGTGGAAACAGCAAGAAAACTAGAATTAGAAGTAGAGCACAGAGATGTGACTGAATTGCTAATCTCATGATAAAACTTAACAGATGAAGAGTTGCTCCTTATGGATGAGCAAAGAAAGTGGTTTCTTGAGATGGAATCTACTCCTGGTGAAGATGTTGTGAACATTGTTGAAATGATGACAAAAGGCTTAATTGAAATATTACATAAACTTAATTGATAAAGCAGTGTCAGGGTTTGACAAGATTGACTCTAATTTGGAAAGAAGTTTTACTGTGGGTAAAATGCTATCAAACTGGCAAGCTACAGAGAAATCTTTTGTGAAAGAAGAGTCAACCAATGAAGCAAACTTAATTGTCGTATTTTAAGAAATTGTGACAGCCACCCCAACC